TCCCCGCGGCCCTCCGGGGGCTGCGCGGCTGCGGTGGTTCAGGCAGAGCTGGGGACAGGAATTAGGGCAGGCAGAGCCGCAATGACTGCAACCCTCCCCGATTATCCAGCCAGCTAGAAAGGCACCGGCTTGCCTTTTGTTTCAGCTGTGGGTTTGTTATTTTTTCTTTGTTGATCTGTGTTTGAGCTTTTGTGTGTGTGCGTATATATATTTTTGTTTAAGTAGGTGATAATATTACTGTGGTTACTGTCAACGTTTAAATGCTTTTCTGTGGTGGTTTGTTGGGTTTTTTTTTCCTTTCTCCAGTTCACCAGCTCACATTTTCCCAGAAGTTAAGGAGTGTGAAGAAGCTTGAATCTCTCCAGGTTTTGCTAAAGCAGCGGCTGCCTGGGGCAGCGGGACGATCCTTACAAGCGACCCCCCAGCCTTCCCTCTGCCGCCCTCCTCTGTCAGCCCTCACACACCCTACAGGTGCAAGGCGACAGGGGGGCAACCTGAGTACGCTCAGTCTCTTTCTGGGACTTGGAGGAGAGCGCATGTTTCCTTGGCCACAAAACAAGGCAAGACAGAGCAATCATCCGTGGCTTTAAAACAAACAAACAAACAAAAAAAACATACCACAAAAAAACCCCAAACTAAAAATCGACCATTGCACTTAGGCTTCAGAAATAACACTTAAAAGGGGCAGAAAAGGGAACAACCAATGCCTTGTTCAGTGAGGGGCTCGTGTAAAATTAACAGGGTGAAGGAGGGGAAGGAGTTTGTTGGTTGCTCGCGTTCCCCGAAAAAAAATACTGCGCTGCCCGGGGGGAGCCAAGCCGATGGGACTGGGGCTTGCTGCCGTTCGTGTGGGAAACACCGAGGGTGCGATGCAAGTTTCTGAGCAGCAAATATCTCCTTGCGCCCCGGGATGCTCGGTGGCTGGCCTGCTCCCCCGGGACGGGCGCCCGACAATTAGAAGTCCGAAACGGGAGACTTCAGGGGGTGTCCGGGGGCGGCAGGAGGGGTGGAAAGAAGCACGGTCACCGGCACCGCCTCCGCGGCCGGCCCCCTTCTGACCCGCTTGGCTATTTTTTTCCCCTCTTTGCCGTCGTTTTATCATTCGCCTCAACGGAGGGTTAATTGGGGGATGTGCTAATTACGAAGAGATTATCTATTAGTAATTCAACCTCATGCGAAGATAACTCGAGTCCACTAATGAGCTGGAAATCGCCCTCTTATTATGGATTTTCAGCTTTCTTCCGAGGGGTGAGAAAAAGCTGGGAGGAAAGCTCCTCTCCCACCATCCTCCGACGGACGGGCACCATCCAGCAGCCAGGAAGACGGGGGCCGCGGCGGGGGCCCTCCTGGTTGCATCCCGGCGCCCAGCCGTGGGATGCGAACAGCGGGGGGTACAGACGCCCGGTCATCCCGGGTCCGAGGGAGCTGCCTGCCGCCGGCGAAAGGTCCCTGGGACCCAGCCGGCGGAGACAGCAGGCTGCGGAGCCCCGTGTACCCCAGCAAGGGCTCTGTCTCCCCTCTCTCTGCGGCAGCTGGCATTTCGTACTATAGGAAATCATCACAGCAGCGCCTGACCTCATGAATATAGAGATGTGCACAGGAAAAATCAATTTAGGTCTAGATCCTCTGTGGGAAGGGGAAATAACCCAAACCATTTAAACAAAGCTTTGCTCTCCAGGGTTTTCCTTTTTCTTTGGTGGTGGCGGGGAATTGAGTGGAAAAGGAGGGCAAAGGGAATCGAAATGCGAGCAGACCTGTGTCTGCCGTAGCTAGGCTGAGCCCTGCAAAGCCCCCTCCAACACGCACAGAAATATATTTTATCATTAAAAAATCAACATTGCTTCCAGTGGTAAAGGCGCCCGGCTCCAGTTCCTGAGGTGCATTCGTTGCTGGGATTCAATCCGTTTGGGAAATGCAGATTGGCTTGCGACCCGCTGTTTGATTTATGAACTGTTACATTTGCTATTGCTTACACATTGCATTGCGGATCTGGGGAAGGAAAGGGAGATGGGGAGAAGGAGAGAGACTGCCACCCTGCACCTTGACAAAGGAGAGCTACTGCCCAGGCTCCCACCAGTACAAATCACCTCCAACCAATTCACAGCCCCTACCTCCCCATCACCCGTTCAACCCCCACCGCCCCCGTTCGCCAGCTGGGCTCTCGCTGTATAAGTGCAGGAGTGTTTACTCTTTGATGTGTAGTTCTTTATAAAGGCATCAGGCGCCTATAACCGAGGTTAGAGCAGCTTCTGCTGCGAAATCAATACCCCGTCCCCCCCATCCCCTTGCTCCTTCGGCTGAGCTGCCTTATTAATTATGAAAGAGCTCCTCTGCGCCCCGGCTCCGCAGCCTCCTCCTTAATGGTGGTTGCTGCTCTCCCTCCCACCGGGGCTCTGCACCCTTCCGCGGGGCCGCCGTGCCGCCAGCCCCCCGCCGCTGCCCGGGCCTTCCTTCGCCGGCAGCTGGGATATGGGGGTGTTGCATTTTGGGGTTTCGAAAGGAGGAGGAGGAGGGTGGGAGGATTTATAGCATATTTTTAAGAAAGAAATGAAAAAAAAAATCAAACGAAGGCTGTGACGAACCAATTCAGTCGCCCTATCCTTGTTTGAACTGAAATTGCAATGTTCATCAAGGGAGCGGTTCGGGATTTAGCCTCCTTCGTCTTAAAAACCCTATCCTTTTCGAGATACTCCAGGCATATTTTATAAAAAGGACGACACCCTCATTTCAAACAATAATTTTTATTTTATACTTCTGTCTATACTTTGTAGCAAATCTTTTTTTGTTATTTTTTTTTTGCTGAATTGACTTTATAATAAACTTTTGTTTAAATTACATTTGTCTTCTCTTTTAAAATCAAGGCTCTTTTTTTCAAAATCATTTTGCTGTTGTTTTTTGTTTTTCTTGGTTTTTTTTCCTTTAGGTTTACATTTGAGCCCCCTTTTTGTGATCTCTACTGTTGGATACTCAGGTATTTTACTGATATGTGTAACATCTAAAACAAAGAGAAGGAAAAAAATTAAAGGCAGTGAATTCGGAAAGATGCCTTCGAACAGCAAGTAAAGGTAAACTCTCAGAGATCTGTTAGCAGCATTCCTTCACTCCTCCGGGCATTCAGACACATGCCGTTCTTTTGCTCGCTCCTTCCTTCCTTCCTTCCTTGTTCGTTCCCCTTTCTCTCCCTCTCTCTCACTCTCTTTTCCCCTCGAGGAAAAATGCTCTTTTTTATTTTTTTAATTTTTTTTTTTGCAGTGGAATGACCAAAAAACAAGCGACTGTGGAGAAAAGATGAGAGATTGTGAATTATTCACCATATGCTTCACACGTGGACATCTACCTTTGATTCATCGCCAGTGCCTTTTTTTATTTTTTATTTTTTTTGTCTGCGCTTTTGTACTCGCCTCGCACACTGCCATATTTTGAGAGGAGCCCGTGGCCCGCCGGGAGGTATCCCGGCCGGTACAACCTTAGCGTTAGGTGGCCCAGAGCCGTTCCTGAGATTGCTTTTGCACATCGTGGGCTCGAGTTTGTATTTTTATTCTTTTTCTATTTTTGATTCGAAGCGATAGTAAAGCTGAGGTCCGATTTGGGCTGCGCGCCGCTGCCTGTTTGGTAACATTTGGCAAATAAAACACAAAAAAAATAAAGGGAGAACGCTTCCACAGTCCTACACGGGTGTTTCACCATCATCAGCCACCACCACCACCATCATCATCATCATCAACCACAGAAAAGCACAACGTCCCCAAAGCAACGGATGGACACTTCCTCTATAGATCCAGCACATGGAGAAGGTGTGGGTGTGAGTGTGCTCGCCCCCCCTAGAAAGGCAGCCGGCCCACGGCGCCGCCAGCAGCAGGGGCAAGGCCGGCGGGAGGAGGGATGGGGCCGCGCCGCTGCCGCCCCCGCACAGTTCAAATAAGCTGCCTTGGAAATCGAGGTTTTTGGATTCCCGTCTCAATTTCTCCCAGAGGTCTGTCGCTCCTTCCTGGCAATCGGTGAGCGCTGTGAGGGTGCAGGCGT